CTGTACCACCTGGAGTGGATCAGACTGCTGTGCAGTGGGAGTCTGATTCACAACACTGTCACACTTGGAGTGGATCAGACTGCTGTGCAGTGGGAGTCTGATTCACAGCCCTGTCACACCTGGAGTAGATCGGACTGCTGTGCACTGGGAGTCTGACTGACAACACTGTCACACCTGGAGTGGATCAGACTGCTGTGCACTGGGAGTCTGATTCACAACCCTGTCACACCTGGAGCGGATCAGACTGCTGTGTACTGCACTGGGGAATCCCCTTAGTGAGGACAGCATGCACCACTCCAGCTGAAATGTACTATTTTGTAGTATTTTGGTAAGGCAGCATGTATTTTAATGAAAGAATATCGTTTATTTCAGCATCCTTATAGGGGACGATTTCTAGCAAAGAGAGAAAACTCTGCATGATCTGACGAACTCGTGTGGATTGAAGCGTCGGATTTAAGTCTTGCGTGACTTTTTTCCTCAATACGATGTAGTCCTACAGGGTCTTTCGCGGGCCTTGTCCGCCCTCTCGTGGTAGAGGTTTGAAAATGTAGGTTATTTTAAAAAAATGGCGACGCAATTATTCAGTTTCCGTTCACTCATATTAGTAAAAAGACCGGTTTATCCTGAGCTGGTCGACGGAGTCTGGCCCGGCAGACACAGGCTACAAGGCGGGATACACCTTGGGCGGGATGTCAGTTCATCTTAGTGAAATAACACCACTTTTTGCCTGGTAGAAAACGATGACAGGTAAAAACAGTTAGCTTTCGTTGGGAGTTAAGCATGATTCTCTGATACGAAACATGTTTTATAAATGATTTTTTTTTTGACAAAATACAGCTTTTACACTTATAACTAACAGATGAAACGGCAGCAATCATCGTACATAATAAACTAACGCAGGCAGAGACATTGCATATTTGTAAACATATTATGGGGAAATGTGGGTACGTATCGCATTTTTAAACAATAATCACAATTAAAAAATAACAATTTTTCTGCCTTAATTGCTCTCATTACAACGATGTGTCTCATGTATCTCTTATAATTGAGAGTTTTTCATGTGTGCTTCCTCATATATCCTCCGGGCTAGATTGGAAAATACAGTAGGAACTACATGCACTGTCTGCGTGTTCCCTCCCGGAAGACTTTGAGCGGCGGTAGCGGTGGCAGCGTGCGGTTCTCCGAGTTGCTGGGAGGGAGGTTCGGAAGTTTG